CTTCCACGGTGTGGGCAGCCGGGAAGTGTCAACCGCCCTCACAACTCTGTCAGCACCCAAGTTTCTTCTGATGTAATCATGTGAAATGACTTGTGTTGTCGGAGCTGTGTAGTTTCTATAGATGTCAGGACTTGTAATTTAGTGCAATTTGTACACATCTATACATTATTATTATTATTATTATTATTATTATTATTATTATTATTATTATTATTAGTCCCTTGGGTTCCTAGTGGAACATAGGGCTTCAGTAGCACGCCTCCAGTGACCTCTGTTCTCTGAGATCTTTTGAACCTGGTTCCACGACAGCCCACAACCTCTCATTTCCTCTTCGCATGACCTCCTCCATGTCACCCTCGGACGTCCAACTCGTCGCTTCCCATGGGGATTCCACTCGAGGGCCTGACGCGTGATGTCCTCAGTCGGCCTTCTCAGTGCATGGCCAATCCATCTCCACTTCTTCCTGCATATTTGTTGCGTGATAGGTTCTTGGTTGGTTCGTTCCCAGAGTTCCTTGTTGCTTATTTTTTCTGGCCATCTGATCTTCAGCAGCGAGCGTAAGCAGTTGTTGATGAATGTCTGTAGTTTATTGGAAATGCCTTTCGTGACGCGCCAAGTCTCTGAGCCATACAAGAGCACTGACTTGACGTTGGTGTTGAAAATCCGTATCTTGTTCCGCATGCTGAGTGCAGAAGATCTCCACACTGGTTTCAGGCTAATGAACGCCTGTCTTGCTTTTCCGATTCTGACTTTGACGTCCTCGTCCGTCCCGCCTGTAGTTGAAACAGTGCTTCCTAGATAAGTGAAGGAGGTTACTTCCTTCAAGTTTCTCCCGTTGACGGTGATTGGAGTTTGTTGTTGTTGTTGATGGTGGTGGTGCGGTATCTTCATCACTTCTGTCTTCTCTATATTCACCTGAAGTCCCGTCTTAGCTGCCTCTTCTGTCAACTTGTTAGTTTTTGCCTGCAGATCTTCAAGTTTATGTGACATTAGGCATAAGTCATCGGCGAAATCCAAGTCTTCTAGGTTCTTTTCCGTCGTCCAGTGTATCCCCCTCTTCTCGCTGCCTACTGTTTGCTGCATGATCCAGTCCACCACAATCAGGAATATCATGGGGGATAGTAGGCAACCTTGTTTCACTCCTGTCTTCACTTCAAAGGCATCACTGAGCTTCCCATTGTGGATTACTTGGCATGTGGCATCTTCATATAGTTGTTGAATGAGGCGGATAAAGGTTTGCGGTACTCCGTAGTATTGAAGCAGTTTCCAAATTACTTCTCGGTCGACGCTGTCAAAGGCCTTCTCAAAGTCGATGAAGTTGAGGTATAGAGCTGATTGCCATTCTACGCTCTGTTCTATGATGATACGAAGCGTTGCAATTTGGTCTGCACATGATTTGTACTTCCTGAAGCCTGCCTGTTCCGGTCGCAGTTTTGAATCCAGTGAGTCTTTAAGCCTCTCCAGGATGATGCGGCTTAATATTTTACTTGGGGTGGATAGGAGAGTGATTCCGCGCCAGTTCTTGCAAGCACTGAGGTCTCCCTTCTTCGGCAGTTTGACAAGGTAACCCTTCTTCCAATCGTCAGGTACCTTCTCTTCCCTCCACACCTTCTGCAATAGTGGTGTGAGCATGTCCGCTGTTGTCTCTGCATCTGTTCTCAGTGCTTCTGGCGGTATTCCATCTGGTCCTGCTGCTTTCCCGCATTTCAGTAGCTTTATGGCGTTCAGGACTTCCATTTTCGTTGGGGGATTTATGTTCACTTGTAATTCAGCGGCTGCAGGTGGTATTTCTGGACGAAGTGCAGGTGGTGGTCGATTCAAGAGCTTCTTGAAGTGGTCGGCCCATCGTTTCCTCTGTTTCTCTTCTTTTGTAATTAAATTTCCTTCTTCATCTTTTATTGGTTTCATCTGTGTTGGTCTCTTCCCTGATAGCAACCTGGTTATTTGATACAATGTCGTCAGGTCTCTCTTACCTGCAGCCTGTTCTGCTTCACTTGCCAGTGTGTCGTAGAAGTGTCTTTTGTCTTTGCGTGCACTCTTCTTCACTTCTTTATCCAGTGTTTTATACATTGTGCTCAGTTCCTCTTGTCGTTGAGCATCCTTGCACTGGTTTATCTTCTGCTTCACCATCCTCCTCTCCTCTATCAGCTTCCAGGTATCCGTCGAGATCCATTCCTTGTCTTCTTTCTTCTTCCTTCCTAATACTGTTGTGCAGGTTTCTTTCCACATAGCTTTCAAAGACTTCCAGTGTTCTTCTACACAGGTTTCTTCAGGGATGTCCCTCGATGTCTCCCATTTTGTCTTGATGGCTGCTTTGAAGATCTCCTTTGTAGTTTCATCCTTCAGTTTCCGAGTGTTGTACTTGAATTGAGGTCTATCACCAGCTTCCTTGAAGGCTTTTAACTTGATTTGGAAGGTTCCTTGCACTAGATAGTGGTCTGAACCTACATCTGCTCCTCTTCTTGACCTTGTGTTAAGTAGACTGCGTCTCCATTTTCTTGAGATTGAGATAAAGTCGATTTGATTTTTAGTGTGTCCATCTGGTGAAGTCCATGTCGCTTTGTGGATATCCTTGTGCCTGAACACACTGCCTCCAATCACCAAATCGTTGAATGCGCAGAATTCTGCAAACAATTCTCCATTCTCATTCATTTCACCTAGCGCCTCTCGACCCATGGTTAGTTCTCTTCCCGTGTTGTCCCCTCCCAGTTTGGCATTCATGTCGCCCATTAGAATTTTGATATCGCCAACTGACGTCTTGTCCAGTGTTGACTGAAGTTGTCTGTAGAATTCCTCCTTTTTCTCTTGCTCTGCATTATTTGTAGGTGCATAACATTGTATGATTGTGACCTTTCTTCCTTTTGAGTTGAATCTTGCTGTCATGATCCTGGAGGAGATTGGTTCCCACTGCATGAGAGCCTTCGATGCTCTTGAGGACATCATGATAGCCACTCCCTCAGTGTGCTCGTGGTTGTCGTCTGGGTGACCGGAGTAGATTATTGATTCTCCAGTTGACAGTTTGGAGAGTCCACTCCCATTCCATCTGCTTTCGCAAATCCCAAGCACTTCGATGTTATACCTTCTCATCTCCTTTGCAATCTGGGCTGCCTTACTGGGTTCAAACATCGTGCGGACATTCCATGTCCCCACGTTTACTTTCGCTTTCATCGAGAGAAGACACATCGGCCAATTGGCTTCCCGAAGGCTTTCACCAACTGGCGTCATTTCGCCTCTCCGATTCCAGCGGGGAATAAGTTTGTTTTCATTTTTTATATTTTGTTTGTGCTTTGAAGTTTCTTTAGCGGTTAGATTTGTTTTACGGGGTAGGGTTGCTAGCCCTATGCCCAACCTTCCCTCTTTACCCGGGCTTAGGACCGGCTAGTAACTAGTAAACTAGTTAACCAGGCGAGGTTACAGATACATATATTGCCTTATTCTAAATCTTCAACATTTCATCACCATCCATCTTTTAACACTTGTTACTTTATTTGGTTAGTCTCCTTTGTCTCATTGAGTTTGTGTGAAGTAAACGAATTAGAATTGATACGCAGTTATGCCAGGTAATAGAACTGATACCTGGGTGTCTAAAGCTGTTTGAGTTAAAGAGCGGAGGTTGACACGACATTATTATGGGAACTCCGGTTATGAATCTACGTCGACTGAGATGGCTGGGACATGTGTTACGTGTGCCTCGTCGCACAATGTTGACCGAAGTAGGTTCAGGCTGGAAAAAGGTTCGAAGCGCGCAGATTAAAACAGCGTCAATGCATGAAGTCTTTCACTGTTAGTTTGAGCGATGTAGGGCGATGCAGACTAGCCGTTTGAAGTCCGTGGGACAAAAGAGATCAGTGTTTGGAGACTCTAGGTTATATGGCTCCGAATTTATATCAGTGGTACAGATGTATACACACATTATCCTTGTCTGAACCACTATACTTAATCACATTTTCTCATTCTTCCTTCCTCTGTTTTACTAGTTTCTTCTTTTGACCGATTTTTCTTCCTTCATCCTCCATTTCGTCGCCTTGTTACTTGCTATGCTGATACGATGTGCGGCAAGTTGGGCGGTTGTGGAGTGCCCTGTCCTATGTTGATTTTGATGATGATAAGTCGATCACTGACCAATGTAAAAATTCAGAAATATTTACATTCTGCATTCCATTCTACTTAGTTTGTTATGAAGGCAAAATGTAGTGGAAGTTCTGTATAAGAAGACTTTAAACATTACATTTGTTAATACTGGGTGGTGATTGTAGGTGACATGAAAATCTGAACTGGGATAGGACTCGAACCAGGGACCATTGGGTTCCTATCCCGGTGCTCTATCACTTGGCGATTGAAGTGAAATAAAAATCCGACCAGAAGCCGGGTCTCGTAGCTCAATTGGTAGAACACCAGACCAGTATCCCGGAGGTCCCTGGACCGAGTTTAACCTCTGCCTAGATTTTCATTTCACCTTCAATCATCAACCAGTGTGAATACAAGTCTATCAAACTATACCTATCTCAGATAGTCAAACCGATACTTGTAATTGTTGTTGAATTCAGAGAGGAGGGGAGTTAATAAAAACATATCAACTCATAATGTATTCTAGTGACTGCATTGCAGTTTTTTTTCTATGCATAAAACCGTTTACATCATTCAGTACTGTACTCAACTTTCGTATTTCCATAACTATGTTTCAAATATGTTATGTTTTGCCTAAAAAACTTAGTGGAATCTAAGTTTTTGAAATATTAGGCTGTAATATTTATGTGTTCACTCACTCACTCACTCACTCACTCACTCACTCACTCACTCACTCACTCACTCACTCATTCAGTCAGTCAGTTACAGTCACTTAGTCGGTATAATCGTTAGGATACAACATTATTCTAACCAATGTAACCTTATACCTATTGATAAAAAAAAAGTATTGAATACTCCTATGTGTTATTTTGATTCTCTACGGAACGATGCTTAGTTAATATTACGTATTTTGTTCTCTTTCCTTTTTCTAGCCTCTAGCATCTATGGTTGCCAAAAAGATACGTGATATATCTGTTAGAGCTCCACGTAAATTAGTGCATATATTTCATATTCTACAAGCGTTGAATACACGTTTCTCATCTGATCTGCCTTGTTCATCACCAACATTTGTTGAAGAATATTTCACTTGTCCGTGTAAATGTACTAGTTGTGGTGTAAGATGTTGTCTAAGCGTTAATCACACTTCAAATAATGTTAGTCATATGGCTGAATTTTTGGATTCCAATGGAATTAATACAACTCCGTGTCGTTATGATCCAGCACTTCAGAATAAATTGTATTTCTGCAAGGTAAGCAATTTTGTTTGTTTGTTTTGTTTCACTATTTGCTTCCCATTGCTATCAAAACAACAGCTAATGGTCGTTGTACGAAAGTTAGGAATTATATCCCGGTGGCCTAGTGGATAACGCTTTGGTGTTTGAGGCTATGGGTGCCGGGGTTTGAGTTTCATTGTGAACAAGATCACTCATTGGGGTGCAGTCACATCCAGGTGACGAGTGAGTCCTAAGTAGGACGAAACCCACATCCTAGATTCCACTACTAGCCATCGAGATGATGTTATATATGTTTTATTGTATCATTGAGTTGCAGATTATGTGAGTTGTTTGATGGAACTTGATTGTATTAAAGGTAAAGGTACCGTTATATACATTCGTTTCTATTACTCGTCTACTCCTATGTGGATTCTATTTACTATCAATTTTGAAGATATACGGAACAGATTTTAGCGATTATTTTCAATATTTTAAGAAGAAACCTGAGAATGTTCAGCACCAGCAGTATGCCTTCTCAAACGCAAAGTGATTACTCTTCCTTGGTACCGATTTGACTACTTCACTTATAGGGAGTCTTTTTTAATCAGTTACGATAGATTGGGAGCGGTAAATATGATTGCTGTTTCCCGCCCTACTCTATCTAGAGCATCTTCGGAACATTCATTTGTCTTTTGGGGAACGGATGGAGCCATTGCTCATTGTTCTAGAGTGTTGATTATCTCCTTGTGTGTTGCGAGTTTGAACCCCACTTCACTTCCTGATATCCGGTCAGCTGCATTGTGTTCGTAGATCCCACAGACAGGCAAGCAAAATCAACTTAAAAGGTCGCACACATACCCATCAACTCAAGTTGACACGGTTCATAGTAGTACAAAAAGAACAGGTGGATAGTGAAAAAGTGATATCAGAGAAGGTAAAGTAATGTGAGAGAATAAATAATCTGAAGATGGAGGTTAGTGTGAATATTCAAGTTTTAGAAGATGTCAAGGAGTGAATACATCTTCACCAATGTTACTGATGTTCAGCCATGTCATCAAGTCTTCAACAACTGATTTCCATTGTCTCATGGACTCCACCTAGTCAGTGAGTCTACATCTCCCCACATGGGTGAGATCAATAGCTAGGGACTTCATCGACTGGTGTCACATCTGGTCTGGTCTGATCTAGTCACCTTGAACCCTCTTCCAAGCTAATCCAACTTCCTCCAGCATGACACTTCGAAGTAGGTGGTGGCTCGAGATGTGGAACACATGCTGAAGCCTATCTTGTGTAATATACTTCCCCCTGACTTATTGCCTACTGGAAGAAGGTGCATGTTATTTTTTATTTATGTTATTGTTATTATTATAATACTCTTCTACTATAATGTACCTTTTGAATTTGAAAGACATGAGAAGGTTAAACTCATTCGATCGCATTTGAATCATTTCTAACGTGCATGTTAGTTAATCTGAAACTGAGGATTAGTGATGTTAGATTTCTTAATTTATGACAAGTAAGGCCAGACGGTTTACAAGGTTTTTAATCGACGTTAACCCACCTGTGTTGGGTCTGCTAGAAAGCTGAAAAATGAAATAGTACTAATCCGTCAAGTGTCTCATTGTTGTTAGACGAAGACTTTGTGGGGGAGTTTTCGTCCTTCTAAATGAACTACATCCTCGGAAATTTTGAATTGAGTGATTTGAAATCAGTTGCAGTGGCACGGCTGTATCTCTACTCTTTAGTTCTGTTCAAAAACAGTTTTTTTTAGCCTATCTGTTCCCTGTAGAACCAACACCCTCTTCTTCATCTTTTCTCACTTTTCAGTTTCCAGTTTCTTTGTCTCTGTGCAGTGTAGCAGTTCAGGTTATTGTATAACGTTGAGGTAGTGCATTACTCTTTGTCAATCTGATTGTATCTTTTGATAAAACTGAAGTATATAACTTCTAGAGATATGAGACATGGAAATGGTTTGTGCTTCGGTAACTGTTACTCAATTCATAGATTAGATGCATTTATGAACAATCTTGGTGATTTTGTTTGATTACTCAAAGTGTATGTTTTCGCATTTGTTAACAATAATCTCAGTGTAGAGGAATCTGCTAACAGTCTTTAAATAAAAGTTCCTATGAGTGCGGGTGTGCTGAAAGGATTCAGGAAATGCTCTTTATGTTGTCGTCTCATTTTGTTCTAAAAAATTCAATCTTTTTTATTGTTACACAGTAATTTCTTTCCCTCGCATAATAATAGTTCTTTCCACTTATTTTCTTTCCCATTTTTTATTTTATAAAACAAGCTTTGCTATGCTTATGGTCAACGAACTATGATGGTCCCTAAGAGTGGAGAATCAAATGCCAGTGCTCTTTCAGCAGTTGTAAAATATCTTTGGGCTGGTTATGTTTTAGAATGTCCAAGGCATGGTACTATTTATCGTAGTCGTGGTTATTGGTCAGGTAATGTAGAGCCTGAGATGAATCCTCAAGTACACTGGGAAATTGTACATGTTTGGCAAGGGGAAAAGTCAATACTCTCGGTAATCTATTATCTTCATCCTCCTATATTTTCTCTTTGTTTTTTTTTTTATATATTACATAATTTGTTAGACATTATGATTTCAAAATTCATTTTATAAGTGAAATGATTAACCGTTTTAATGTTTGAAGAGAATACACATTCATGCAACAGGCAGTAAGCTACATCTCTTATGTAAGGGTGAGTGATACAAAACTATCTTGCTGCACAAACCTTGGTTTGGCGGAGCATGGTTCGAACCCCTAGCCCATTAGTGTAAAGTCAACTCCCTAAACCAATGAGCCATATAATGATGAAAAGAATAAAATTATTAAGGTATTCAATTACATTTTGTTTTCCAAACTGTATATTCTTGAATTATAAACATTATTCATTATTTGACAACGTATAGTCTATCTAGATTGTTAATTATTTTTTCTTCAGTTTTGTAGTACATGAAAAAGGTACTTTTATTAAATGACAGAATCGTATGTGTGTGTGTGTGTGTGTGTGTGTTGCACTTATCATTCACAAACTTTTCTTACTGTTGTGTATACTTATCAACAATTTTATTTAGATCAGAAATATTTTCTTAATTCCATGAGAGGACAACGTTTTTACCAGAGATTTGTGTAGAACTGCTATTTCACAATGCCTTTCATGTGAAAATCATTTTGTATGTCAAGTTTTTTCATGCACACACACACACACATGTACACCTACTGGTGGTCAGTCGCTGTCACTACTATGATAATGTTCCTTTTATTATGTAAAGTGTATTTTATTCAAACAACTATTATTATCTATTTGTTAATATTATTATTACAGGGTACACATCCAGTTAGTCAGTTATTATTAGATGGATTAACTGTTGTTTCTAGTCAAGTAAGTCAATTGGCAGGTCCTCCAGCACGTCGACTTGGTGATCTAATCGCTGATAGTGTAGCTCCTCGATATTGGCAGCCTAATTCTAGTATTAAAGCGTGTGCAGTTTGTAAAATTGAATTTCCAAGTTCTTCAGATGATTCTGTTTGTACAAGTAATTATCTGTCAAAAGATAAAAATCAATCTATGAATGATAGTCATCAAAAAGATAAAATATCTGTTAGTCAAATGAATTCTGTTCTTCATCGGTCTTCATCATGTGCAGAGTCATTAAATCGTGAATCGAATTCTCCAAAATCATTAAGACCATTTATTGATGATTTTTCTAAACATCATTGTCGTGCATGCGGTAGAGGTGTTTGTGCAAGATGTTCTACTGGTCGTTTACCTGTTCCTGATCAAGGTTATGGTAATGAAGGTGTACGTGTTTGTGATCAGTAAGTATGTTCTGTTATTATTATTTATTTAGCTATGTTTTACTGCAATGCTTCATATTAAAAATTGCACTTACTTGGACCGTGAATTAGCTAAAGTATATGTGGTAATTGTGGTTAGTTGGGTTAGGGAGTTGACTTGTATTGGTTCTAGTGAGAAAACTATACTAGCCTCTTTAATATTCCTAAGTGAAACAAGAAATATATTTGAGTTTATAAGTTTGTGTGAATTGATCGATTTCGAGGTAGTTAACAATATGGACTGATAGGATTGGAAGAGGCATTGAGCAGTGGTTTCATTCTAGTGTGAAACTCATCAGCATTATACGCTCATACGCCTGTCAGCGATCCAACTTTGAACTATCAAGTCTCGTTACGAGTACGTTATCATCCAGCTACTGGGTCGCAAAGAGAGAGAGAGAGATGAACAATTCTTCAAGTGTGCTGTGTGCTTATTCTCAAGCCAAGTGAGAGTAAGGAGATTTTCGAGGTTGAAATACATGTGTGTGTTAATATTATCTTTCCGCTAAACATAACTTTCGACATTTCACAAAAAAAACAACATTATCTATTCAAATTTTTGATACTTCACTTAGGTGTTACGAAGCTCGATTACGTGATAAAGCTGTCGATTCATCAAATAAAAATCGTTTATCTGGGATGAATTATAATTCACAAGTAAATAATACTTCATTGACTGGTCGTAAAGTGATTGAAATGTTATCAGCTACAGCGGATTATATTGCTCCAATATATACTGGACCTAAAGGTACGAGATATGAAACTTTAAAATCATGTTTGTTTTTTCATCCTGTTAAATGAATCCGTTAGTTGACAATGTCTAGTATTTTATCATCGTTTGAGGAGTAGTGCGTGTGTGTTTGCTATAGGTTCCACTAACCCTAACACTTGACTTAACTGTTAGTCTAGTTTTCTTAAAATGTTTTTCTCTATTTTTGCTTATTTCTCATGTTTTTTTCTGTTATAGGGTAGCAAATATAGGCATTTTCGTATTTTATGTCCGCTTTGATATTCTTGTCTAAATTGATGGTGTATTACCTCACATGCCTCGTGTTTACGCCTTACTTACTATCTACCTCATTCGGAAGTAGAAGAAGAGTTGGACTGAAGGTTCGTATTTGATGTTATAGCTTGTGCATCTCTGTAGTCGATTGCAGAGAATTGATCGGCTACTATAGAATCAAACAGCATATTATACCCGCCGTTATCGTGACTCACTGGCCTAGTGGATAACACTGTGGCGTTTGAAGAGATTTGTCTTGGATTTGTATTTTGGCGGGAACAACACCACTCACTGAGAGGCAGGTAGTATCTAGCTGACGAGTCCCAACCGGGACGAAACGCACGTTGTGGATTCCACTGCTAGCCACCATCTATCACTGATATCAGACGGGCAGTTTTCTGGTACTGTTATACTTCATATCGTACAATCGGAACTTTTCTTTCCAGGTTTCATTAGACAGTCTTTTGTACAAGACAATTTGTGCATGCAAAGTAATGAGTATGAATTACTCTTGGTATCATCTTCTTGTTGTTTGGAACACGGCATGGAATTGAAATATATCTCCAGTCTTCGACTAACGGTCTATAAAACACGAATTTAGTTTCTCTTTGTTGCTAAACACTGTACCTTAACACTAAAAATGCCTAGCACAAACTATTAACTACTTATATTAACTATTCAGTAGTGTATTTCTCTTGTCGAAATTCACACTTTCTGATCTTGGCATGGTGCTTTCCAACGGAAACGCAATCGACACCAGAGTTGGACAGTTGAAAAACTATTCGGTTGTAAGAAATATCAACATGTACCGTTCATTTTGTAAGTGGTTTACAAATCGATCATCCTATGCGTAAGCTAGCTCATCTTACATGTTCCATCTCAAATACAAGTAAAATTTTATCAACTGTTTTACATTAGAATACACTATTTCCTTGCTTATCTTTGACTGGTTGCTCTTGACATTCTTTAGACTACATAATTGTGAATAATTCAGTCAGAGGAGATTAATGAATCTCATACCAACTAAGTAAATGTTAGGATGGTAACTATGCCGCCGGAAGCGACGTTCAGCGACAGTATCGAACACACATCTTTCATTTTTAGGCATCGTAACAACATTGTCTTATTATTACCTTGCACTTTTTAGTCAAATTTAGAAAGAGACAAATGTTACCGTTGACTACCTGTATAGATCCAGTAAATGCTTGGATAATCCTTCATTTCCCTTCCATCTAGCTTATTTGAAAATTACTGACAGTTAATCACTGATAAAGGTTTACTTCACTTTTGAAGATGAACATTTTTGACAGGTCGATCATGTTGTTATGGATAGTCTTAAAAGACTGTTACTAACTGATGTCCTATGTATCACATGTATTAGTTTCGGCTAGGGATCCAGTCTGTTAAGTTTCTCTGTACATCCGAGTAATATGTGATTTGTCGTTATACAAATGACAATCATGTTTTTCTGGATATATAATTAACTAGAATGAAGGTAGGTCTATAATAAGACCAGTGTACAGAAAATGCGTGTGGACGCATCGATAATTAAGCTTTCACAGCTTGAAGGATTCAACGTATCCGAACAACAGAAATCGAATTCTTAACAGAGAGATAATATTGAATAACGCATATGCCTTGAAGTTTTTTAATCATCGAAATCGATGGTGGTGAAATATATCCGGAGATGGCTGCAGAAACAACTTCATTCAAGTGATGCGATGAATATAGGAGCAAATATGCATCATCGTGTATGGACGGGTATGGACCTTATAGAAACAGGCCCAAGGGACTGACGCCCATAACAAACTTTAGGCTGTTATATAGGAGAGCCGTCAGCGGCATATATTTAGGTGTATTGAAGCCTTAGCTACTCAAAAGTTGTAATCCTCTTTGTGTATTCAAAAACAATTTATCCTTATCTCAAACCTAATTCACTTTGTTTTCATTGAATTGAAAATAAATGATTAGTTGTATTTACTCAATTCTTGTTTATATCTTTTTATAGAACTAGTTAAATCTCTTGCTCGACCAGATTACTGGCAACCTGATGAATTATGCACTTCATGTTATGTATGTTGTGCTCCTTTTGGTTCTCGTCGTAGTATTCATCATTGTCGTTCATGTGGTCAAGGTGTTTGTGGATTATGCTCTCAACACTGTCAACCTGTGCCTAAAAGAGGTTTAGATTTTCCAACACGTGTATGCGATCGTTGCTATCAACCATATATAAAGAATTCAGAAATTTCTAATCTTACCACCGTTGTAAATGAACATCAAAGCTCAAATGTAAGTAATAATGTAAAAAGTCAAGAGAGTCAATTACAAAAATCTAATGTTCAAACAATTCAATTTAAACGTCATACATTGAATACTTCACAAAAAAGGAATTCACAGATTTAGTTTATCTTCATTGACACTAATGGAAACTTACACTCATATATATATATATATATATATATATATATATATATATATATATATATATATACGCATAGAAGAGAAAACAGACTCACTCTTTCCCTTTTCCTTTCCAAATTTGATGTAAGAATTGGTGTTTCAGTTGTAGTATTCATTGAGAGGATGTTCCATTATAACTGGTAATTTTTTTTCTTATCATCTAAGTTATTATTAATCAGACTGTTCAATAATCGAGATATTTCCTGTTTAGAGTGTAATCACTGTGATCTATTTTCTCGGTAATATAACCTGTGTTTATTTGATTTCTTCACTGTTTACTTTGTTTTTGCCTTCATTTCTTCTGCGTTGTCAATGTTGTCTTTTCTTCTATTGTACTATTACTTACATGTTTATGCTTTACAGTGATGTGTATACAAATTGGTTTGGGTTACTTTCATTTCAATAATCTGTCTATCTATCTATCTGTCTATCTATCCCATTCATAAGATAGTTGCTTATTTGTGTGTTACAAAAGATTTTCGTTTTTTTTTTCTATTTGGTAAACATTTTTACACATTTCTGGTTAATTTTCTTACTTTCAATCCATCTTTCTGTGTTAATGTTCGTTTTTAAGCGTATTATACTTGTCTCTATAGGTTTGATTGTTGAGAATCTGTGTACCAGCGTAATGTTTCTAATGTCTATTCAACATTGAAGGTGGTTATCTTTTTGACAAAAGAAGTGAGTAGAACTTTAGATTATCTATCAGTACACTTTTTAAAAGTGTTTTTTTTTAATTCCTAATCTTATCTGATGGAGTATTTGTAATCAAGATTTTGATATTGTATCAATACATTACTCCAATAATCCAGTATGATTTTATTTCATTTATCGCATATTTTCTTCTGTTCCCTTTGTGTTTATTGTTAAGACTGCTACATATAAGTAATAATAATAATAATAATAGTAATTATAATGCTATCATGATAATCAGTATCATCATCATCATCATCATCGTCATTATCATATTCAGTAATTGTCATAACCTACCTTATTTTTATATACACTGAAATGTATTTTGTATTCGAAAAGATATTTATCCAAGTACTGTGTTCTACACCTTATTTATTTGGTTTTATTTCCTCTCTCAGAACTTTTCATTATCATATACTTTGATTTCATATAATAAGGGGGGAAAAAAAATACATGTACATTTATTTACCCATTCATCGATATACATATATAAGGTTTTATTCACACTAAACGAAAAAGATCAAACTTATCAAGAAACTTAGAGGTTTGTGTTGATTTATTTATTGATTTCACGTTAGTATTCATGCTAGTGTGGGACCACTAAACAGTGTGCACCTATGACCCCACCTCATTAGGGATCGAACCCAGAACCTTCAGGTCTCGTGGCCAACATGTTGATACTGAACCACTGGGTTGACACACAGTGGTCCACATTTCCTACTACTGTCAGTCCCCCTGATGGGGTCATAGGTCCGCATTGCTGGGAAGCCCCATACTAGGATGAAACAGCTGTTTAGTGCTCCCAGGTTTCCGAAATTTCTTCATTCCATTATGAATACTAACCTGAAACCAAGTAACTGTTGGATTCTGATGTTATCGCTTGTGATTCTTCGTTGTTGATCGATCGACCACCAGAAGGTATATAGCCTCTTGCACCGAAGACTCGATACTATCGCTAATTTCGTTTCAGTTGTAGTGATGAGAACTAAGGATGTGTGTTTCGTCCTAATTGAAACTCGTCAGCTGGATAAACCTATTCATCGGATCCTAATTTTATTATATGATCCAATTTATTTAATATTGGTGGTAGCAAATTAACTAATGTTTGTTTGTTTCACGATTCAATGTCAGTTGGCAAACTACTCTAGTGCAAATAATGGTCATTGCACTGGACATTGAATCATTCAACTCTTGTCTATTTAACAAGACTTACACTCGTAGACAACTCGTATTACAGGAATGAAAATAGTGAATTTCGGCGCTACGCGTCGATCGTACACCGCTATTGAATACGCTGAAGAACATTTTATAGGAGAACAATGTATGTTTACAGTTGAAACTAAAGTTTCAGAAATCTTAAACCGTCAAAAGGAACTTCATTTTTTTAATGTGGTTATTCGTCTTGAGGGTGGCACAGCTACAACTATTGATCAAAGACTTGTTAGCAGGAATTCAGGCTAGCTAGTGTTATACTAACATCTTGGATTTTTAACATAATTACCAGACAAATGAAGACGTTGGATGATAGTTGCGCTATATCGTGAATTAACAAAAATAGGAAACTATGGACCATTGGATTCTGACTCAGTGGCTGGAATGTTTACCATGTTCGCTACGAAACCTGAAGCTGCTGGGTTCAATCTATAGCCGGGTCATGGGTGTGTGTTGCTAAGGGGTCCCATACTAGGATGAAACAATTATCCATCACTCCCAGGTTTCCAATGGTTATGCAACTGATAGCACAGTCCATGATGAATACAACCTTAAGAATAAAATACTCAATAACCTCGAACAGAGTTCATTTCAATGATATCCTCGTAACTGTTCTTGTATTTCACACTAGATGGAAGTGTTGATAAGATCTATACTTCACTCATGGAATCGGAATACTTTACGAAATAGTATTTCAGTCAGTTGCAGGTAATCTTATAAGATGGTTTGTTCAACCTAGGATTTGTGCTTGTCGGTGCTGGTCAACAAGGTAAATCTGCAACCTCGAAGGAACTGACTTCGCCTCTGAGATCCGAACCCAATGTTGTAGTCAGCGAAGTTACTACTAAGATATTCGGGTAGAGATTGACCTCCTGTAAGACTGCATTACACGCTGGAAATTTCGTAACTTGCTTAACTTCATTCAATGAAATTTTATCTCACATGATATCAAAATGTTTACACCCAAGATGTTTAGGCTGTTGGTTACTGGATCTCAAATGATTATGGCTTTTGTACTTTGAAATTATTCATGCATATTTGAAACTCAGTAAAGACAGAAAGCAAAATAAGCATCAGTGTTAGCGAACTTAAGATGAAGTACTTCTAAAGTTGATTGAAAAAATTTGTGTTTACCTAAATGTTTCCGTGATATTCATGTTTTTCAAACATATGATGTATCATAAAGCAGCTATGTTTATTGCTGTTGTCACCTGAAGGTTTATATACCAATAAAATGGTAAAATCAACATGAACAGTGATTATTTCGGTGGGAAAAAAGTAGCAAATTTATTTCAGTTTGGGGACTTTTTGTTAGATATTCCGAGCTTCATTGATAGCTAACTTCGTACGCAAGACCCCCGGACTCCAACTAGAGACGAACAAAGAAGAAGATTGAACCGGATTGGAGAACTTATTTCTCTGAGAATAATAATCACTTAACCCACATACACATGAAACATGACCTTGTCCAGAAATCGTAACTTTGACATAGTAAAAGTAAGCATTAACCAATCAGCGAGTTACCTTGAAAATGGTGGCGGAGAATGAACTAATGACCGTGCCATAACAAATTGCGTGAAAACGTAACTTGGAAAAACGTTGTCTTATGCAAAATTAGGGCTTTCCAAAACCTTTAAATTGAAAAATGTACACATCTTTCCATAAAACAAGGGTTGAATGCCATACTGTATGGTGTTTTTGAACTTACACGATCATTCAGTTGGCTTAGTTCTACCGACAACTGCTACCTTGGTGTCATTGGGGTCCTTCAGTTATTAGAGGCTGTTGATGATTTGTATTGAAATCTATAACTGACGCAGATGTATTACGTTAAACGTCTCACCGGAACTAAGAGATGATCAAACTAGTGGCATGTAAACAGCACTAAACGCGTCTACTGTAAAGCTTTAAATGGTTGACTTTCGAGCGGTTGGTCATAGGTTGGAAACCCACTATACTCACCACCCTTTAAGCCTCAAGTATCGTCACTATTCCTTACAAAGTAAGTATGGCTCATTACCAAGTGCATAAAATTACACAGGACTACTAAGTTATATTTCATTTCTAACGTAGCACCAATAAGTATAATTCTGAAATCAAAAACCCCCTTGTCTCCAGGATAGTGAAAGTGAAGCAAACTTCTTGGATTAGTAGATAAAAAAGTTCTCAACATTACTGGAATGAAATCTTGAATGTGTGACTGTGACGTACATTGCTTATCAGTACTGAGGCTTCGATGACTTCAATAGTTAGGTCTGTTTTTCTATGTGATTTGAATCAGGTTTGAAACATTATTAATCATAGTGCCAAGTTATAGTTATGTCTTCAAACCTGGTCCTACAGGAGGTCAATCATAGGATGAGTAGATCAGTGGTAATCTCTTGGACTGTAATACTGGGTGACAAAGGTTTGTATCTCGCAGAAGGTATCCGTTCCCTGGAAGTTGCATGTAGGCTATGCTGACGAGTGTCAATAGCCACGAAACTTAGATTAGACATGGCTTCCTGCCAATTGCCTCCAACCAACTAACATAACTTCAAACTGTTTGTATTAAAAGTCTCATTGGATGATAATTCTTAGTTTAGCAATATTCAGAGAATAAGTGTCATCGAGATAAGCTTAAATCTACAGCAGGGAAGTTTGGTATGTGAAGAAATAAATTATATTTGGTTATATTTCCGGATATTTAGCTCTGTTTTTTGCTTTTTGAAAGCGATATTTTAGTTACTTCGAAGTAAACACAACAGATTTTCAGAGAGTGTACTATGCATAGTGAATGTCGTTCGATACATCTGCGAACTCAACGTAAACTCATATTGTTTTCTCCTGCCTGGGAAATTAATCCACCATACGAGGACCTTGATTATCGAGCGAAAAGCTCCTAGGTTTAAGTTCTTGAAAGTTATCCCCTATTTTCGATACACAAAGTAAAGGAGCATATCCATCATACCTTGGGATTTTCGGCCCTTAAAAATTTCCTATTTGATTAATTAACTACTCCATAAAATAGTCATCATAATTTGTCATGTTATGTTAAGGTGAAACACTTCTCTGCTCTGGGGGAGAAACAGAATTTTATCAAAGAGATCTCATTATCCTTTGGTTTCGTCTGCTACCTAACGTAATGTGACCTAGATGTATATCTTTACCTGACTGTTATAGACTACTTGAAAATTTAATAGTAGCTAAAAATGAAAAGGCATAACATTTTATTCACCGTCAGTTTGTAGGGAAACTCCTAGGTATCTTATTTATTGCCATATTGTTCGAATGAAGTTTGTCATAAAACGAAACAGCAAACATAAGAGAATTAGTTTAGCCAACTTTGTTTACAAGATTCGGAGGTCGTTAGTCATCCGATGCCATACTGGAGGTCGAGAGCAAAAAACTAAAAAAAGCCAGGCAGATTTCAAGCCCGGACTGTGGGGGCATCCATCAGATTTTCAGCCTTTAACAGAATCTGGAACAAAGGAATGTTTACTGGCCACCGAAAATTGCCAGATTTCTCGACCTGAAAGTGGTTTTTAACTCTGCTGATTGTGAGTCTTTGACTGTGAAAGGAATACCAAGTAAGCAGAGGACGCTAATCAATGCTCTCGGCTCGAATTTGCGCATGTGTGTGAAGATTTGTCATCAAAATTGACAACAATGAGCAGTGTTTCCTAGGGATTTTCGCTTTTGCCTTTGCTTACTTATCTTAGTTATACATGTATCATGGACAGAACCAATGATAGGTCTGACTTCACTAGGATTGACCTACTTCCTAAAGGTCGTCTGGTTGACTTGGAGTGAGCAGACGGTATTGTCCTGCTAGATGAAGATGCTGACAAAATACCCTGTCTTCTGAACGCCCTAACAATAAATCTGGGTACCTTTGGCACGCGCTTCACTGGGACCTGTCAAATTTAAATGATGCTGCAGCACTGGTCTGCAACTACTCCCAGTTTAAGAATATGGAGTGAAGTAGTGGAATGTGTTGAACACTTCACTTAGTCGGGGAGTCACATCAACTCGAGCTGGCTGGTTACTGACGAAGTCTCTGCTCGGAATGGGAAGGCTCGTTTGGCACTTGCCAAACTGCGTCATCTGTGGCGCCGACTGGTGAGATATTATCTACCAAAGGGTGAGTATACTGCGCTGCAGTGTGTTCCATCCTGTTGTGCGACCATGAGACATGGCCGTTGAAAGTAGAAGATATGAAGCGGTTACAGGGTTTCTGGTCATCAGTGTCTTCCTGGCACTGCTCGGGTTCGACGGAATCGTCTTGTGAGCATATTGATATTGGGCAAAGGGTACTAAGCTTGAAGGCAAGTGAGTGGATGTGATTATGAACTTTCAG